AGAGAGAGAGAGAGAGAGAGAGAGAGAGAGAGAGAGATGGCACAGGGAAGGGGACAGTGGAAGGTGTGAAGCCATAGAAGGCGAGAGACACAGTAGGGGAAGTAGGAAAATGGGGAGCCGAAGGACAGAAGTTAACCTCTGCCCTGGCCATCTGGGCTAGGACACAGTGCCAGTTTACAGAGAAACCAGAGGCCGGGTCTGCAGAGGCTGGGAGTTGTGGCCCTGTGTGCACTGCAGGCAAATGTCCCTTCCTCCCTTGCAGAAGGGTGCTTGGATTCCTGCAGGTCTGGGCTTTCCCCGCAAGCACACTGGAGGCGCAGTGGGGCAGGGCAGTGCAGGGTCTTCACATAAGGGACTATAGGGAGTGACAAGCAAATCCAGGCTGGTTGAAAGCTGAAGATTCTGAGACATGGTCTCACCAAATAGTTGAGGCTAGTCTTAAGCTCACTATGTAGCCCAGGCTGGCCTCAAACTCTGAATGATCCTCCCGCCTCAAGGTTATGATTGTAGGTATGCACTACCACACCTGGCGTTGCTTTTGGTTTTGGCACTAGTTTTTTTAGAACCGGGGATTGAACTCAGGCCCAGGCAAGCACTTATTCTACTGAGCCATCTCCCCGGCCCCCTTTGGCACTAGTTTTTGGCATCATTTGAAAGAACACGAGAGCGCAGGTTCTATAAGGAGAGAAGATGGGTCAGAGTAGGCGCTTGCACCAGGCTTCTCCTGTTGCCTCTCTGCCCTGTGCTTAAGCCTGTGCCACATAGGGCCAAAGACTGGACACGCTTCCTCCCTGAGCACCAGCTGTCACTGAGCAGTGCCTCCAAGGGTTGACCAGATGAATGAGTGCATTAATGAATGACAGCAAACACTTAACAGTTCAGTGGTGCATGCCTGTGATCCCAGCTACTCAGGAGGCTGACACAGGAGGATCACAAATTTAAGGCCAGCCTGCTTGATCCCCAGAATCATCATCATCATCATCATCATCATCATCATCATCATCATCATCATCATCATCACCAAATTCTTATATAGCATGTACTATGGCAAGCTCTACCCTAACAGTTACAGAGTTCACTGATTTCTTCTATGAGTTCTGTGAGGTGAAGTTTACCTTTGTTCTCATTTTACAGATGAGGACATTGAGGTACAAAAAGGAGAAGAAAAGTCACGAAGTTAGGAAGATGGAGAGTTGCTGGATAAACCAGACAGTCTGGGCCCCAAATCTGTGTTCCTAACCACAGTGACTCTGAATGGGTGAAGGATAACCTAGAGCCTACCTGTCCCTGTCCTCAGTGGTGACTCCTGTGGTCAGAGCCCTGGTCCCATCAAGACAGTGAACAATGAGCAGAGAAACACCTAATAGATTGTGATGGCTGCAAAGGACAAAGGTTGAGTGCTGAGGACACAAATGAGGGGTCCCCTTCAAAGAGGTTATGGGAAGCTTCTCTAGGGAGAGGGAGCTTCAAGTGAAGGATGGAAAGGAACCAGGACTGTGACAGCAAGGAGAAGAGTGTCCTGTGACGAGGGGACAGCACACAAGAAGGGCCGGAGGCAAACTTCAATGTATCCCAGGAACCAACAAGGGGTTCCTATGTGGCTGAAGAGGAGAAGGGTCTAAGGCGACACTAGGGGTGGCAGAGGCCAGACACACAGGACCTGGGGGACCATGACAAGATCCTTGGATTTTTTCTTCTTTGTAAATATCGTACTGTCTTATTTTTTCAAGTGAGATGAATATCGCACCATTGGGAGGATATAAACAAGGGAATATATGACCTAGCATGTTTATTTTTTATTTATTTATTTTTTGTGGGACCAGGGATTGAACTCAGGACCCTGAGCTTGCCAGGAAAGCTCTTATTCTACTGAGCTATCTCCCCAACCCTGCTAGCATGTATTTTAAAAAGTAGACACACACATTTCTAATCCCAGCACCCTAGGACTAGACTAGAGCCGAAAGACAGCAAGTTTAATCCCAGCCTGCACAACTTAGTGAAACCCTATCTCAAAATGGAAAGGATCAGGAACAGAGTTCAAGGACAAGGCCAGTACTACAATCCCTAGTACTGCAGGTGGGGCATGCGGAGGGGTGCTTTTGTTCTTGCATTCATTTGATTTTTTTTTTTTTTTGTGGACCCGGGAATTGAACTCAGGCCCTTGTACTTGCCAGGGAAGTGCTTATTCCACTGAGCCATCTCCCCAACCCTCATTTTATTATTTGATCACTGATATTTTAATCTTTCCACTTATTCTCACATTCAATAATTTATTTTTTTCATTGGGCCTTTATTGGTTCATTTGTTGTCTTAGTTACTTTGTCACTGGGACAAAATACCTGATATTCATAAATCATAGGAGAGGGGCCGAGGAGATAGCTCAGTAGAATAAGTGCTTATCTGGAAAGCGCAAGGGCCTGAGTTCAATCCCTGGTTCCACAAAAGAACAAAAACCAAAAAACATAAATTATGGGAGAAATGGGCCAGTGAGATAGCTCAGTGGACTAAATGCCTGCTTAGGCAAACTCAGGAACCAGAGTTTGATTCCCAGCACCACATGCTGCGCTGGCCCCACCCCCAGGCACACTGGGACAGTCATGGAGCCCAGGTGTGGTGGTGCAAGCCTATAATCCCAGTACTGGGGAAGCTGAAAATAGGAGAATCACTACAAGTCCAAGCTGCGTAGTGAGACCCTGTGCCAAATAACGAAATATATATCTATATATCTATATATCTATATATCT